AATAAAAAAGCAAGTAAAAAAAAAATAAAATAAGATTAAAGTATAGTATAAATTTGATTTGTAAATAAATAATTAGTATTTGTGAGCATATTCACAAAAAAAAATACTAAATAAATAATCAAGGCAAATAAATACAAGCACTATTTTTTCTGGATTAATATTTATATAATAGATAAATAAATAATATAAAGCAGATGACTTCATTTCCATTACAACTTCTGTGATTCTTTCCTATAAAAAAGAAATGTCCAGAAAATATCAATGAAAATGTCTAAAATTTATCTAGATATATCAGAGAATGTCCAGAAAATAATCATTATTTGTCCTAAAAAATAATCAAGCTTTGCTGTTCAGGTTTATTCAAACATTTAGAAACATCCAGAATATTTACAGAAAGAAATTTAATCTTTTTTCTAATACAAAATATGTTTGGAAATTGTATTAAAATTATGCATTTATTTTTCTAATACAGAAAATGTTTAGATTATGTACTGAATTTATGTCTAGAATATGTATATATTTTTTTAATACAAAAAGTGTTCAGACTGATTTTAAATCTAGTCCTTTTTAATTTAATTAATATATATTATTATTTTACATTATATAAATAAACGATCTACAATTGTATTATTCGTATATACTGATAATCAATTTTTTTTTTTTTTTTTTTTAACAAAAAAAACTTTATTTTATTTAACATAATCTTTAAAAAAAATATTATTATTTTAAACTTAATTGCTGAAATTTGTAAGAACACTTATTAAATATACTTATTTTTTATGTAAATTAATTTTTATATCTTTTTTTATACAAGATTTTATGACAAAATTTGAGCAAGTAAAGATTTTTTATTACTAAGTAAAAGTTGTTCAGAAGATTTAATACTATTTACATCTAATTTTTTCATCATGATTGGTTTGATATTGTAGAGTAATAGTTATTTTTCGTAACTGTATTAAATTCTGAATTTTTTATTTTTTTAAATATGTATTATATCAATATTGATATAAATGTATATCACACATAAAATTACCACTTTATAAAAAAAAAGTATCAAATAAAGTATTTAAAGTTATTACTTTATTTTATTATAAGTAATTTTTGAATAAATTTTAAAATTTTTTTTTGAATTTTATTATATTTTTATGATTACATAAAACTGTAATTTATATATTAATCAAAGTTATAATTACAGTTATTTATACAGAATTTTATTCTTTTTCAAATGTGTTTTTAATTATAATAATTAAAGAAAAATTAAAAAACTTTAATTAAGAGTAAATTCACTTTGAATTTCACAAAAAAATATACAAAAAAAATATTCTGTTACAACTTTTACTTTATGTTTTTATTTTGTTTACATATTTTGTAAATTGTCTAAATCATGTAATCTATTTACATTGAAACTGGCAAAAACTGATGAACCTGTCAAATATGTCATATCTACCAAATAAAACATATTTATAATTTATATCATTTCTATTATTATTATTATTATTATTATTATATCTAACATATATATTATTTATTTCATATTAGCATATCTGTTAACTCTGTTATTATTGTTAATAGTATCATAAAGCCATAGATTTTCTTTAATTATAATTTTCCTATATAAAGGGCATGAAAATGTCTTAGATAAAGAACAGATCTCAACATTGTATGCAATATATATTTAAAACAATAATAAATAATCTTAACATTTTACAAACATAAAACTTATAAGTTTATTCTTGTTAACTAAATAAACTCTCTAATTAATAGTGTGTCAAGTTGATTGGATTTAAGTTAAAGCTATTATCTCCCTGACTTGAAATCATAGTTAACTTATTTAAAAGAAGAGTAACATTAATAACATTATACTGATCATCTAAAAATAGCAATATATATAAATATTATTTAATTTTTATTATTATTTTTGTTTAATTTATTTTTTAATTTTTTTCGTTCTTTCTTTCTTTTCTTTCCTTTTTATCAAATATATTTATTTCTTTAAATATTATTTTTCTAATATATTAACTACTAATAGTTTACTAATTATATTTATTTCTTTCATTTATATTATTAATTATATTTATATTTTTGTTAATATTATTAATATTACTAATTTATTTTTTTATATTTTTAAATATTATTACTAACTTTATTACTTTGTTTATATTACTAACTATTTTTTTAAATATTATTATCATTTTTCTTTTTATATTTTATATATATTAAATAGTATTTTTTTATTATAATATATTTGTATTTTATTGTATTTTATTTTCATTATTTATATTTTTTTAATAATAAATAAATTTAAATTAAAATAATTTTAAATTAAATATTAATAAATTATTAAGTTATAAATTTGATATTAAGAATAGTGAAATGTCTAAAAATGTTTAAAAAAATAGAATACATTCGGAAAAATATAATTATGTCTGAAAAATATCTGGAAAATAGGATTATATCTGAAAATTATCTGAAAATGTTTAGAAAATGTCCAATTTTGCATTTTAAAGAAATTAAATATTGAAATTCTGAATAATAACATTTTCTGGACAAAATGAATATCTGGAAACTACTAAAATTTGAAACATATTTCAGACAATAGATATGTTTAGAATTTGTATATTTTTTTCAATACATTTACCTGTTAAATTTTGGACATTTTTTTTATAGGTCTTGTAATTTATTTAACAATATTAGTAATCTGATAAGAAAGTTTATGTTAAAAATTGAATTTCATTTTCCAATTTTAAAATACATTGAGTAAGGTAAGAGATTTATATTAACCTCCATATAGATAAATATTATTTTTTATTAATGAAAAAAATTAAAATTTGCAAAGACTATTGATGGTCTAATTAATGCATTAATATTTCATTCTAAATAAAATATTAACACTAAAATATGATTACAATATTTGAGGGTCAATTACAAATATATACAAATGTATATCACATTCCTTTCTCATGTTTGGAAGATTCTATTTATTTTGAAATTCAATATGATTATCATTTCGCATATTCATCAAAATGTTCATTATGCCGCTACTGGCAAGTGTTTAACTGCTTAAAGAAAGAAGATTCGCTATTCTGTATTCCATATTGGGATCATTTATAATAAACAATAAGCTAAGGGAATTTATATATCTTATGAGATTGTAAACTATGTAAAGATGTTCATTTAAAGATTTTAAAAAGAAATTTAAAATTTCAATTTTTTTACAAGCTGATTGACTTGGATTTGAAATTAAAGACATTCTTACCTCATTGCTCATTGGATCATATACTTGACATTACAACAAAAAAACAATCCCAGAAACCACCCATGTTTTGAATGCAACTAAAAAGGTTTAAATCTAATAAAATGAAGACCTCCAATATGCATTATTAATACTGTAAGAATTGAAAGTATAGTAAATTAAAAATTTGGAAAATTTATTGCTATTAGATTTTTAAAGATGTGAATATTCAATATTTCAATTAAATTATTTCATGTATACTCTTATATTCAATAATTAATGATTAACTCGTATATTTTAGTTCAAGTTTCGCTTTATAGTCAGGTCAGGAATTTTATGATTATTTTATTTTTTCTTAGAAAATGACAGATAAGGCTCATTTATATAATTCACAATTCTCGAAAGTTTTCTGGAATAAATAAAGTTTTTTATTCAGTACTTCTCATTTTGTGGAAATTTTAGTTACTCGATTAATATTTTTAAGACTGCAGATAAGCCGAGTAACATCAATGATTGAAGCTATTAAATATTAAGTTATAACAATCTTTTGGGACATAGGGCCTTTTTTTAACGGTTTTATCGTCTTATCGATCGCCCTTAACCTTTTTAGTGATAGTCGTGTTACATTTACGTGTTTTAAACTTTATAAATGATACACCTATGCCAAGTGTAACAAATTTTGAATTTACAATCAAAAAATAGTCGTCTGATAATATTAGCGAAGCTGATTCTTTTCTTTCCTTAGCTTCCACTCATTTTCAACCTTCAGACAAAAAAAATTAAGGCTGTCAAAATAGATTATTGAGAGAAAAATTAAATAAGGATATTGAAAAAATGTGATTGGTCGGAGGATGAAATTTTAGTATGAATTGGTATTTATAATATCAATATATTTAGCAATAGTAAGTTTGAATTTAATGAACAATATTCAATAAATATATTTTATAGTGGCATTTAAATTTTATTTGTTGATTTTTCGGTCTAAAAGACCGGTCTAAATTATAAGACCGATGATCTTATGAGACCATAGGTCTTGGTTTCGATCCGATCTTTTTTCAAAGACTGCTAAGATCGGACTAGATCGGACCGTTCCCAACTCTAATTACAACCAAACAAAAAATTTCATAGGTACATTTTTGATTGGTGTTCAATATTCACCTTCAATTTTATTTGTAAAAGTTTATTTGCAAAATCAAAAACATACTATATCAGTAGTTTCTGCTTGATATAAATATTCAAATTCTTTAATAACACCCATCGATTTAGTTCGATCATGTTTTCCTTAATATCCAAATTGTAAAATTCACCATGAACCATCGGTGATTTGCACAACTTGTAAAAGCGGGTTCCAATTCATCCTACCTTTAATATGATCCGCATAATGGATTTTAGCCTGTCATGTTTCGCGATACCTTTAATAATTCATATCCATGTCCACCATACCAAACCTCGATGTTTTCAATTTATAATATATAAATATCTAAAGTTTGTACTGTACATAACAAAACAATGGTCCGATTTAACGGACAAAGTTCCATAATCTCCAAAAATTTTATTGTATCTTTAGAATCAGGATAATCATACTTCAACTTTAATTTCTTGTAATTGTGGAAAGGTTGAGATCTCAAAATATTCAAAATAACAAATCGTGATACATAGTTCTCGTAAATTTGTGAATTTTGTAATTATCGATAAAGGTATGCAACATTTCATTACCACTAATGTTTAATTTGAATCAGAGTTATTGGACAAACATGTAAAATCATCGCTAGCCTTTATTATCAAGCACCTTGAACTTTGTTGTACCGAAATCAGTTCCGCTCCAATGGTAACGTTCAGGCTCTGACTCATTCGCGATAAAATCTGGCTTATGTTTAAACCACATATTTTCTGGGAGAACTGGTAATTAAGATATCACGAATGTACATTGAATTTGAAATAAATATAATTTTCTCAAAGAAATTTGGTTCATAAGCATTTTAATCATTTCCTGCTTTACCAATTTATGTTTAATAAAGTGAAAGTTTGGTAAAGTTACGAGAATGTTTTAATCATGTAAAAAAATTCATTCATTGAAAGAATCTTGTTAAATGATGCATAGTTAAATAGTGGAGGTTTGTAAGTTGAGGTGAAAAGATGATGTCATTTTTGGAAATTATTAATTTTGAATACTCATCCATAAATTCGGCGATCAACTAAATCCTAATATACTCCAAATATTGAAAAGTTTCATTCAAAAGTCAGAGTGAAGTTGACTAGGTGTAAATTTAATGTGTTCAAAGAAAATTATCTTTAGTCATTTAATTATACTGAATATATAAAAATGTATTGTCATTGGTTTATGCCATACTGCATAATTAAATCATGTGACCTTAAAGTTTGACAAAAAAAAAAAAAAATGTGAATTATTATTTAATCAGTCCTTGAGTTATAGGATACTTGTCCAAGAAATTTTAGAAGGAATTTCACAAAAAGTCGATTTTTCTTTTTTTTAATTTCGAACATGATACCGTCGTTTTCTTAACGTTCTCGAGATATTTAAATATTCTGATGTGGATTTTTAAACTTTATTCACAAATTATTTGATATAATTTTTTCAAAAAAAAATAATTAAATAAATTTTAATAAAATCAGTCGGGTATAGGAGCGGATATGACCGTGACGTTGTCATTTTTAGGTAAGCCAAAAGAAAAAAAATACTAATAGCCTTCAAGGTGAAGTGGCGAATGTTGTTGCGAATTTCAAGATTATAGGTTTTAATTAGAACGTACCGTACGAAATGCTTCTATTCTTTATTAAAAATAAAGAAAATTAATTCAATTGTTCAATAATTTACTAGGATCTTGTTCGTCATAATATATTTAGCAGTTTATAAAGTAAATTCTAACATTCATTAACGTCGTAAACCACCCTTTAAAGTAAAACTCAAGAGAGCTGTATTAATAAATGGAGGAGGAATTAAATCTTTTTAACGTTTCATTTTTAATCAACCCGATTTCTTCAAATCTTTATTTAACCAATAAGCACGAGAAAATTTTCGTGATTACACACTCGTTAAGACTGATTTCAAATGTTGAAGTAATACCTTTATTGAAAAGGGATTTTGACAATTGTATAGTAAGGGTAACATTAGTAGATTGATGATTTGACGAATTAATAATAAAAATAATATTGTCAGGAAACTTTCTTTAGATACCTAATATATGAATTTTGATTTATAAACTAAATGAGAATCAAATAAAATAATTTGAATTTAAATTATTAAATCTAAACTAATGCAACTATTAATAATTTAACTACGAAAATATAAAATGACATGAATTCATCATACCATTTGTACAATAAATAGATTACGTCCTTGAAATTGTTCGCCGAAAAGAGGCAATGAATTGATATCAATATTATAATAAATATGTTGATGATATACTACGATCATTTGTCGTTGTTTTTTATAAAAATTACGAGATTCTTCTGAACTCACTCATATTTCTTTAAAAAGTCACATTTAGCTGGAAAAACAAAAAAAATTCTTTAAAGTTTAAATGCTATTGTTTTTTGTTTTTCGCAGTTATAAAGTAAAGCAGTATGTACTTTTTATTTATTTATTTTTTTTTTTTAAAAAAAAAAAGCGAAACATATTTGATTTTTTTTTTATTTTTTTTAGATATTCCACTCAAACTAAAGCTTCGATTCTATAAAGCGTCGAAAGTCGAAACTTTATATTAAAGAAACACTTAAGAAACTGAGCTATGCCTTCGTTTCCTGGAATTGTACCGAAACCAAGTCAACAAGCAATATATCTAAGGCCTGCCCAAAAAAGGGAAAATTTGATAGTTGTCTGGAAAAAATTTTTGGGTTTCGACGAGATTACTGGCAAAACTATAATAAATTCCTTATTGATAAACCGAACTACAGAGGGTCACCAAAAGTCTCCGAACACCACTTTTTAAGCGTGATTACATGCTAGTAACGTCACGTAACTTAATA